GAGATATGGGGGTACAATGAGATCTAACATATTTACTCTGAGTTCCAGAAAAAGAGAATAGTGGTATTATAAGAACATTAATATCTGCAGCAATAATAAATGAGAATTTTCCAGGGCTGATAAAAGAGTGGAGTCTCTAGAATCATAGCTATAGAAAGAAGAGGTTATAGCAACAAAGGGAAAATAAAAGAAACAAACAAATGATCAAGCGTAGCCCTGGAACTGTGAGAACAGAGCACCTGGGGCCAAAGACATCTGTAACTAATGCTATTTAGGCTTGAAAACGCCAAGTGGCTGTGAGCTGGTGGTGGGTGGAGAGGCTCAGAGTTGGGCAGAAGGATGCTTGCTGCCTCCTGTTTGCTGATTCTTTCATGCACACGGCATGAAGGTTTAGAAAAAGGCATTACACTATCTAGAGCACATGTGTCAAACACAAGGCCCGCGGGCCAAATCCGTCCTGCCAGGCCTTCAAATGTGGCCCGCACCGCGCTGTCATCACTGCACTCCGCTGCGTTTCCATCACAATGACAGTTTATGACTGTTCAGTAAACCATTCGGCCCGCGATCTAGGCTGGATTTTAGATTTTGGCCCCTTCTCTGATTGAGTTCGACACCCCTAATCTAGAGTCTTATTTTCCTTTTTCACTCAACATTCTGAGACTTACTTGTTTTTTGCTATTTTCCTTTTTCACTCAACATTCTGAGACTTACTTGTTTTTTGCTATTTAATTTTTCATATTTTATAGTGTCTCCATTATGAATATTCTCCAATAGAAACAGTTACCTTGGTACTTCCCACTTTATAAAAATTAGTTTTGTTTTTCTTAATTCCTTGCTATTATAAACAGTGGTATAAAGATTCTTGCCTATGTCTTATCATTCAGATGGTTGAGTATTTCTAGGGTAGTTCTCTAAAAGTGGTACAACTGGATTCAAGGACAAAGGCCTCTTCAAATTTATTATATAACTAGAGGCCTGGTGCACGAATGTGTGCATGGGTAGGGTTCCTCTGCCTGGCCAGTGATTGGGGCCAATCAAGTCCGTGGAAGGTTGGCCAGGAAGGAGGGACTGTGGGAGGATGGCCGGCCAGGGGGAGCGGCTATGGGAAGTTGGCCAGCTGGCCGGGGAAGGGACCACAGCAGGTTGGTCAGCTATAGGAGGTTGGCTGTGGGAGCACATTGACCACCAGGGAGCAGCTTCTGTGTTGAGCTTCGTCCCCCTGGTGGTCAGTGCATGACATTGCAACCAGTTGACCAGTCATTTGGTCATTCAGTCACTTAGACTTTTATATAGAGAGATTTTAAACGATTTTCTGAAGATGTAGGGTTTGTATACATTAAATACACTAATTTAGTGACTAAGTACTCATGATATTTGCCACAAAATGTCCTTAGATATAGGTAAGAATCAAATTTTTAAAACCTCAACTTTGATTTTAGATAAAGTAGGTTTGAACTTATAGACTGTCATATGTTTATAACTTTCAATTATTTTATAATAACTTGAAAAATGTAAAAAATGGCACTTTTATCAATAATCCAGTGTTGTTTCAAAAAATGGCTTGCAACGAACATGGATGTCCGTGATGGGAATTTAGAGTATGCTCATATCTAAGGTGCTCCTATGGAGTAGAGAAGTAGAGCAGCCACAGTTAAATGATAAAGACATTTTTTGGAGGAAGTATAGCAGTCTCTTTATGTTCAAAGAGGTTTTACTTTAGTCTGATGAAATTTCAATGTCTCAGTAATTCAGGCATTTACTGGTACCCTTTGTGGAATTTTTCATCAAAATGCTTATATAACTGGTTTGACAGGAGAAACATTGAAGTGAACATAAAATTTTTATTTTCCATGAAAAGTTACCCGCTGTGCCCCATTGAAGTTCCTGCTTGTTCAGTAGCACCCATAACTTTCAATTATTAAAATTGTCACTGAACCTATTCAAACCTTCTGTCTATTTCATTAGAAAAGCCTAAACCAGTAGTTTCAGCTTCTTGGAGCAGGAAGAGGAAATTGTCTGTTCTTATTTCCTTTCCCTCCCTCTTCCTTTGGTATGTGGACAACAGAATGTCAACATAAACAACATTCTCTGCATTAGACTTCTATTCACAGGACACAGGTTCCCTTTCAGTTGTTGCTGCTTTATTGATAGTGCTGCCTCCTGGTTCTTCGTGTATCTGGTGTCTGAATGCTGACTCTTATGCAATTTTTTTTTTGCAGTTTCTTTAGAGGGCACAAATTCCTTTTTATTTAATCCCCTTGAGAGAAAGGAAGATATGGCTCTTCCTTTCCCTGCCTTCACCTACTGCCACAGAGGAACCCCCTCCTCCTTTACCTCACCCCCACCCACACACACTCCACACACAGCCCTTTGCTGCTATTGTTGTATCCCAGTAAGCAATGCTCTTGGGAAAGGGGGCACAGAATCAACAATATTGCTTAAACATAAAGCACCAGATGGCCCCACACTTTGGGAAATTTATTTTTTTCCTTGCTATGCCAGGGACTGGGAATGAGGGTCATCCCCTGACACTCTCTCAGTCCTGCCATCACTTTCCAGTCCCCATAACTTGCATAGTTTTTTTGTTGTTATTTGTTTTTTTTGTTTTGTTTTGATGTTTTTGTCCAATGACTCATAACATTTAAGCAAAAGAAAATCACCATTTCCTAACATTCTAACTCAAATGTCCTCTCACTACCCATCCAGACCGCATAAGGAATCTTGCTCTCTTAAGAACTCTGCATTTGCCCAAAAGATGCTATCCTTCTCCACAACCTCTTGTCTTTCTATCAGTGATTAGTCAACCTGAAACAGGGAGTTTCATGGAATAGGATCCTTGAAGAGTTTAATAACATAATTCTCAAAATACAATAGATTCTACTACAGATACGGCCCTACTCTTTAACTACACTGAGTGGCCAGATTATAATCTCTGAACACATAATAATATGGCCATTCAGTGTACTTTTCTTGAGTACCTCACTTATTTGCTCTCAAAGATACTATAAATCGTGCACCTGATCAGTTTCCCCCTTTGCACTGGCTGATAGAAAGCTCACGGCAAATAGGTGGTTGATCGCCAGCAAAAGTCTAGAATACTTTTGGAACCCATTTGAGATACAAATGCAAGCAAACAGGACTGGATAGGAGTCAGATTTGGCTCAGGTCAACCCTCATTTACTAATTGCATAGAACTTAAAATTTCTTAGAAAACCAGGAGTTTTAAAGAATTAGGTAAAACACCTCAAGAAAAGTGTTTCTCTTCTTGCTGAAGAGCCCTTTCTATTTATTTATACTAGTGGCCCAGTGCATGAAATTCATGCATGGAGGGGTGTCTCAGCCTGGTCTGCACCCTCTCTAATCTGGGACCCCCTTGGGGTATGCCATACTCCCCTTTTAGGCCCGATCCCTGGGATCAGGCCTAACCAGCAGTAGAAAATCCCTTTCACAATCCAGGGCAGCTGGCTCCTAGCCACTCGCCTGTCTGCCTGCCTGATGCCCCTAACCTCTTTGCCGCCAACCTGATTGCCCCCTAACTGCTCCCCTGTTGACCTGATAGATGACTAACTGCTCCCCTGCCGGCCTGATCACCCCCATCCCTCCCCTGCCAGCCTGATCACCCCCAACTATCCTCCCCTGTAGGCCTAGTCACCCCTAATTGCCCTCCCTTGAAGGCCTGGTCACCACTAACTGCCCTCCCCTGCAGTCCTGATTGCACCCAACTGCCCTTCCTGTAGGCCTGGTCCCTCCCAACTGCTCTCCTCTGCAGGGCTGGTTCCCCCCCCCCCCCAATTGCCCTCCCCTGCCTGCAAGGTCAACCCCAACTGCCCTCCCCTGCTGGTCAGTTTGCCTTCAACTGCCCTCCCAACCTGCATCTTGTGGAGATGTCACTTGTGGGCGTCGTGCATGTGGACCACCTGGGCTTTTATTATATGATTCTTTATATAATTGCATTTATCAAATTGCTATTTGTCATTTTATAGAATAGTAAAATATTACAGCTTAAAACAGAACCTTTACTTAAAAATACACTAATAGAAACTATCTTATAGCAAGAGCCTGATTTAAATATCAAGTGAGATAGAAAAATTTTAGGATTGACAGTCATTTTTTTAAGTAAATGGAAACAATTTTAGAAGTATGTTTCTATACTGTTTAGTATTGCTTTCTTTGCTTTCATATACTGATTCTGAAAATAAGTGGTTTAAGAAAACTGAAGGAATTGTTTGCAGAATTGAAATTTGAAAGACTAGCCTAACTGAAATTTTTAAATGTAGTAAAGACCCAGAATTTTATCTTATTTTTAAAAATATAACAAACAAACAAACAAAAACCACAGACCTGTGTGATCAGTATACTAAAGGGCAAACACCAACAAACTGCAAAATTTCTCTACAATCTTTTTAGAGCATAAACTATAGTCCCAAAGATTGGACTGTGGTGTCCAGTTTGAGAGACAATGTAAGGCTTGTCTGGGGAAACTTTTTTCAGTGATACCTAATTGTCCCAAGGCTGATAATTGAAGGTGAGAAGTAATTCAAAAACAACGTGTAGAAATTGTAAGGAAAACATAACAAGATTGAAAATAAATTTTTTAAGTTTCAAAGGCATTGTAGTTGAAATATCTCTAAAGCATATCCTAATTTTCATCCCTACCATTTGTTCCCTATAAACAATAAAGATTTTTTTCTCTGTATATCTTGAATTTTCTCTAGCCAAGTTTTATTCAAGATCATAATAGCATAATTATGACTTCACTACCAACGACTTTCTAAATATTTCCCCAGACTCTCCAAAGTTAAAAGTTTGTATTAAAATTTTAATAGCTTTCTCTATAAATCACGTGCAAATTGTCTCAGTCTCACTTAAAAGGAAAATATCATTTGCCATTAAAACTTTCTGGTATTAATACAAATATTATTTTTCTAGTCATCTGAATTCTAAAAATTGGATAAACTTTTAAAAGATATTCAAAAGACGGTGTTTTTTTTCCCCAGTAAATTTTAATGATAAGCTGACGTCAGGCAGACCAGCATGGCCAGAGGGCGGAGCTGTCCCAGTCCTCAGGAGTGCAGAGCGCGCCACTTGTCCAGCGGGCCGCGACTGGGGACGTACTTGACTCCACAGCCGTCAGGGATGAGGCGCTTCCTGGCCACTTTGTCTTCAAATTCATCTGCGTTAAACTTGGTGAAGCCCCACTTCTTGGAGATGTGGATCTTCTGGCGGCCCGGGAACTTGAACTTGGCCCTGCGCAGGGCTTCCACCACGTGCTCCTTGTTGTGCGCCTTGGTGCGGATGGACATGATGACCTGGCCGATGTGCACGCGGGCCACCGTGCCCTGGGGCTTCCCGAACGCGCCCCGCATGCCCGTCTGCAGCCGGTCGGCGCCGGCACAGGACAGCATCTTGTTGATGCGGATGACGTGGAAGGGGTGCAGCCGCACGCGGATGTGAAAGCCGTCCTTCCCGCAGCTTTTCACCATGTACTTGTTGGCGCAGATGCGCGCGGCCTCCAGGGCTTCGGAGGAGAGCTGCTCGTACTCATCGGACACCATGTGGCCGCAGAGCGGGAACTCGTCCACCTTCGCCTTCTTGCGCCCCAGGTCAAAGATGCGGATCTTGGCATCCGGGACCCCGCGGCAGAAGCGGGACTTGGGGTACGGCTTGTTCTTGCAGTAGCGGTAGCAGCGAGCGGGTCGGCGGCCCATGGCGGCTCCACAACGGTTGCAGCCCAGAGAGGCCCCGCCCCACGCATGCGACGTAGGCCGACGCCCATCTGCCCCACGGACCATAGAGTTCCTGGAGGACCGGAAGGCCCTTTTTTAGGGCTTCCCGCCATAATGGCGGCAGCGCCCCCCTTCCCGCTGGTGGCCGCGCCTGGAGCTGCGGGAAGGCGCTGGGCCCACCGCGAGGCGCTGAGGCCATGTCTTTCTTGCTGTCCACTCTGGGCTGTAGAACATTTGCCCTGGGCTTTGTCATAGTAGGAAAGACACATTTTCCTAGAGATTAAATGAGAAAGCTCTCTCCAGCTGGCCAATATTCTCTATCAAAGTAATATATTTTCCAGAGCGCGTGTCTCCCATCAGCATTTGTACAATCAATGGCCGTTTGAGCAGCTGTGTGGTCACCTTCCCTGGGGAAAGTGGTTTCTTGGCGTGAGCTCGCTCTCTGGCGAGGCTCGGGAAGAGCTGAGCGAGAGTGGGGACAGGGACAGGGACAAGATGTATTTTACACATGTTGCTGGATTGTTTTAGAGACCCGAAACTTTGGTTTTATGCTTTTGGCCATTTGGAATGGTTTTATTATAAAAAATGGCATCTACAAAATTGAAATACCAACGGCGTTTTTTAATTTAAGGCTATTTACATTTTTATGCTTTATTAATCTTATATCTTACTGAGAATGAGTTTAATAGTTTTTTTCCCCTCTGATATTAGATTTTATTTAAAAAAATATGATAAGGATCAGAGTGTGGGGATGGAGGAAAATAAAAGATAAAATGAATTTGTAAATGGTCTATAATTCTTACTTGGAGTTTTCGGGCTTTTTTGATTTCCTGCTGTTTCAGACATCTATGACATCATGGAACAAAATTCTTCCAATGTGAGTATATTCTTCCAATGCTTTCTCTTTTACAGGGAAACAAATAAGTTGTCACAAAGTAACTTCTGTACCTGAATTGAGTGGGATTTTACAAAATAATCATATTAAAGTAAAAATATTAAAACTCTCAGTGTAGAGGATTTTTCCACCTTACAAAAAAGTTGCTTACTTCTCCATCCTTCATTTCTGCCTTCCTGTTTTCCTCAAATAGTTTCTGTTTACTATGTAATCTTGAGTATGAAGATAACACAGCATATAATGTTGTTCTCACTGAGCTTACAAGTCTAGGAGGGGATTTAGATGATATGCCAATAATACTTCATCATACTACAAAATACAAAATGTGCCCAAAAGGAAAAGCAGAGTGAGCCCTGAGAGCCTGGGGTAAGGCCCTGATTTAGACTGAGGAATGAACAGAGAAAACTTTATTAGGAAAGAGCTGTTTACATTGTGCATGTGGTGCATGGGGCCTGGCATATGCAAAGACCCTGAAGCAGGCAAGAACATGGACCATTGAAGGAACAAGAAGGCCAGTGTGACGGGGTGAGGGGGTGAGTGGCATAGTGTGAGTCCACATTGTGTAGAGAAGGTGGCTTGAATATCACATGGGGCCCATTTACCAAGTTAGGGATCCTGATCTTTATTCAACCACTGAAGAGTTTTACACAGGTTTTAGCCTCTCATAATGTATAATTGGGTCAATAAATTGGAAAGGGTAAAAAATGGATGCAAGATGAATGCTTTGCAACACTAAAGAAAAGTGAGGGTAATTTGAACATGCTTTTAATGTATTTTAGTGTATTAACACATTTGCATATTTTTATACTACTGCATGCCTATAATCTATTATAGTTCCGAAGGAGAGGGGTCTATGAGGTCAAAGGAAGATACTCAGCCAGAGTTCATGTGCCATCATGCACTCATCCCCACTTGTCTAGGCCATGCTTTCAAAAAGCCTAGAATCCTCTGACCAGCAGAGAATTGGTCAGAGAATTGGTTGTGTTTCTGCTTGCATAATCCTCTTTCCTTAATTCAAAAGGTGACTAATTGTGGTTTGCCTGGGACTGTACCAATTTTGTACCTGTAAGTCCTGCATCCTCCCAAACCACACAGTCACAGGCAAAATGGGAAGGATAATCACCCTACCACACTTGTACATGGGGACCTTCATAGTTGCAGGATGGAGTCAGAGGGTGTGAAGAGAAAGAGAGAACCTGACTGGGATTCTTTCTTTATACTCCTTTCCTTAGCTGTACAATTATTAGGAAGAAGTCTGTGGAAAATGTATAAGCCACACCACTATATTTAAAAGATTTTAAAAAACCATTCCACTCAATCATTTTCAAAATGTTAAGTGTTCCTCTGTATTCCAACTCCTGCCACCTACAGTGTGCATCATACTAAGAAAACCTTGCAAAAACTATAAAACTCATCAGCTTTGAAAAGTAGCCTGAAATATTGTCAAGAAGATGATACACAGAAAATAACTTTTTTGCTTATTTACTAAATTTATTACTTTGGTAAATGCAATAAAAGTGTGGCAAAGGGAGACACTAGTGTTCTATAAAATAGAGATGATTTAAAGAATGAGGGGTACACATATAAGTGAAGATAAGAAATAAGTTAAGAAAGGAGCATAACAGCTACATAAAATTTAAGATCTGTGAGAACAAGGACTATATTTGGGTCACTGTTTTGTCATCTGTTTTTGGTGAATTGTGTGCACCATAGCACAATAAATATTTGAATTGAGTACTCAACATCACTGTTGGAAATTTTTAACAACCTGCTCTTGGGGAGCAGGATTGGGGAGCTCTGATATGTAGTGTTTGCTGACTTTTGTGGTGTAAATATCCCATCATCAATTTCAGCCACAGTTGAGCCAGTGTTAGCTGGTTCCAGCATGCTGTGCTTACCAAAGAAAAATAGATAAAAACAAACATGGCCAAAGTTACTAACACAAAACTTGGAATAATAAATTTGGGGATGCATAGGGAGAGATCGTTTTCTAGGAGCCTCAAAAACCAGACAGACAAACATGCTTCGACCTGAAATTTCAGCTTGGAATGTGAAGAAGTCTTTCCTCCAATGTTACTCTCTTCCAGGCCACAACCCCTGAATAACAGATCTGTACTGTCCTGCACTTATTGATTAGTTATGCATCTAGGCAGCTTTTAAGTACTTGGAATTAGCACTGGGCAATGTTAGAAATGCAATCAAATTCTCAGCATCCTCTACCTTCATGCAAAGACTGAAAAAGAACAGTTCTGTGTATCAGATCAATGCAGCACTGCCTTTCCTTTGATATCACTTTTCAACCATTTCACAAAGAACTGAACCTGAATTTGTTTCAAAATAAATAAATAAATAAATAAACAATAACAACAATATGCTCTGGAGTCTAATATATTGACTGATGTGCACCCTGCATTTCCTCTCCTGCTGCTGAACTGTCTGCATTGTTGATCACTGAGTCATTATGCAGCCTTCCATTTCTTGTTTGACAACATTCCAGAGATCATGTTCCTACTTGGCTCTTAGTAATGTGTGATGCCTCTGCTTGATGAGGAACAGTCATTTTCATTAGTGTTTCTTAGTAACTTCACACTAGCAGCTGTAAACTCAATATTTTTGAAAGCCCAGATGAGCGACTTGACTATATTTTACTAAAGTTGAGTAGTGAATGTAAGAGTCATGGCTATGATTGGCCTTTTCTTCAGCCAATGGTATGGATTGTCATTACTAACAGGTGGTCATGATGCTGTTGCTCACTCATCTTATTCACAATGGTCCACTTATCTATTTTGACAAATGAACATTTCCAAATAGATGTAGTGTCAGATGATTTTTTTAAATACATTTTATTGATTTTTCACAGAGAGGAAGGGAGAGGGACAGATAGTTAGAAACATTGAGGAGAGAGAAACATCGACTCAGCTGCCTCTTACACAACCCCCACTGAGGATGTGCCTACAACCCAAGTACATGCCCTTGACCGGAATCAAGATTACCCCTGCCTGCTGCTTCCAGAGAGAGAAGCGGAAGAGAGTGAGGGCCGGGGTCCATGTCCTTTTAAGGGGAGGATAGGGGACGGGGTTTAGGGCACTCAGCACATGCTTATTGGTGGTTTCATGTAAGGCCATGATTTAGGGACCTAGGGACTTAGGAATTGGGGGGCTTAGGATATTATGCAGGTGCTGATTGGTGGTTCAATGCTCAGGAATATCTGGCTACAGGTGGAGTTTACTTCTGTCCATCAACTGGAGAAAGGGAAGATCCATCAGAACTAATTTAAGTCTTTCTGAGGTCCTAGCAAAGGATTTAATAGTCACGCTCTCCTGGCTTTTTGTCTCCTAACTATGTTTTCTTGAGATTGCCCTGGATTTGCTCTTTGCTAGCAAGGTTTTTTCAGAATTTGAAAACTGTTTGCCATCTGGAAAATCTAAAATGGGAAAGTTTTCTTCCAAAACCCATGAATTTTGGTTCTTTTTTATCTGTTAAATGCACCTCTCACAGACAGCAGACAGGCCCCTGAGTCAGAGTAAGAGGGCTGTCCCCAACCTCAATTCCTGTCTGCTCATATATATGAATTTAAATGAGAAAACTCTAGATGATTGCACTGTTGAAGCCAATTTTATTAAAGCATGCACCATTATTAAAGAGGCAAGCCCATCTGGCTTAAGAAGCACAGAAGGGCTCTTGGTTAATCTGAAGAGGGAGGAAGGTGGGGGACAGGCATTATATACCCTCCTGTCTATAGGTTTCAAAATTCCTCTGCTGACTATTTTGGAACAGATTAATTCTCAAACTCCCTTGTTACTTTGTTGTGGCTTTCCCAGAATTCATGAGAGGCACCTGGCAACTTTATCTTGCCAAGCCTTGAGCTGCTGGATTCTCTGCTTAAGAAGTAAAACTGCTCTTTTTGTGTCCGTGTGTCCCCCCCCCCCCCCCTCCCCGTTTTTTGCATTCTCTCCTTAGGGAGGCTTTTAACCATTTGCTCTCAAGTGTCCTTGATTTGGGGAAGATAATGGCTCCTTATTTACAAGTAAGCTGCAAATTGCCCACACTGTTTGGTCTTGTTTTAACTTTCCTGCCTCAGTTTCCCTGTTACTCTTGCCCTG